TTATATATATATATATATATATATATATATATATATATAATAAGTTAGATGGTCAGTGTTCGTACGATAATTAAATCCGTACTCTCGCAACCTAGAACCCTCGAAAGGCACGGTGATTCAAAGGCACTAATGGCAAGGAGCTCTATCTCGTTGTCTCTATCAAATCAGTCCTCGAACTACAGGTAAGGGTAGACCATTCTTTCGGGCCCTAAGATGTAACTAATGTACAGTAACCTTGGGGACTTCCAACCCCGGAGAGCGCCAACGCCTCTCCACTCTTTTTACCTTTTCGGGTTTACACCTAGGGGTGGTAAATGGCCACACCTTCTATTAGCACACCTTTCTCACCGACGTGTCCGGTTTATAATCCTCTAACCATGCCTTTATGTCGAGTTATTCAAAATTATGTCAAATCAGGCCCCACTATATACTACAAGAAAGGCCCACTAATGGTTTATTTTGGTAATATCATATAATAATAATAACAAAACATAATATACAATTTTATTCTTCTTAAAATTAACAAATTAATTAAATAAAATTTCGTAAAAGTTAAGTAATAGAACCCCTAACTCGAAATGGATCCTGGCGACAAGGAGTAACTCACGAAGGTCCCTCGAGAAATTGGGATCACAAACAAGTCTCCGTTCCACCGGTCGACTTTGCCTCGATTCGCGTGCAACTAGTACCAGACGACTTTTCAACGAAGTGAAATTGGCTCAAATGGAGGTCGCCATTGAGTTCATCATGTTGAAACAAGCTGAGATAAAGTCTTGGATCGTCAATCGAAGGTCGGGAATCTGAGAAACGAAGCTTTGCTAGAATCCGGCCACCGACGGCGGCGCACATCGGCGGAGCATCTTGGAGCAAATTTTTATGGTGGACTTAGGTCCTACGCCAACTAAATCGACCATTCTAAGTTCAATTATGTAGTCAATTTCAGAAAATTCGGCCTCTAATACAACAGATCGGGTCAGGCTTTTCAGAAAATGTTGGCAGCTTAAATCTCAAATTTTGGGCCACCGATACCCAGTTCCTACTAAACGTTTTGACACCACGGGCATGAAAAATGGTGGCCAAAATCGATGGGACCACCCTCCCCTACGACGAGCTATAATGGTGGGTTTGAACTCTGGTGAATCGGCAGCAATGGTTGCAGTTGGTGGTCCTGACTAGATGAGCAGCGGCCTGAGTTGTTTGGCAGGGGCGGTGTCATTCACGGCTGGCTGAAGGAGGGAAAACGAAGAAGGCTGCAGTGGCAATTTTGGGCACTCTTAGACGAAGCACTTTAGGCCAGATTCACCGGATATCACCAACACGAAACTTGTTCGTCTCGCCGCTCTGAGTCTATGGGGACTGGAATCACCTCTATCGGAGGTCGAACAAAAAAGCTATGACAATTTAAAGTTTGGGTATTTTTCAGAACTTCGACTGACAAGTGCGGCTTACTCCAGCGGATTTGGCAGCCGTAAGACACCAATATGGACTTAGCTTGATGAGAGCTTTCTTATGAGGAAGAAAAACATACACTAAATTCCTGTCGGGGTTGGTGGCGGTGCGCGAGGAAGAAAGCGTAAGAGAAAAAATTGTGAGGGAGAGAGAGAAAGAAATTGATTGGTGGTGGAGGGGCGGACCGCCCATGTGGCGTTAAATAATTGGGGAATTTGTACATTTTACCTTTGACTGAGACTGGTCATAAAGACGAGTCAAAATTTGCATTTCAACCCCAATTCTCATGAAATTCAAATTCTCACCCACTTTTTCAAGATTTTTACATTTATGTCCTTTAAAATTTTGAAATTTATCCCATTTTTTTTTTGGGTTTTACAGGGTCAATACCAAATTAATAGTGACAGTATTCATATCTGTCTATTCCAAACTTACAACTCCATTAATTTATTACAAGTATTATTAGATGCATACTACGTAATTATCGTGCCGATAAAATAAATAAAGTTTTTATCAAAAATAAAACAAAAGAAATAAGTTAGAAATTTTTGCTTTTGAGTTTTCGGTTAAACGAGACAAGTACTACATTAATTAATTTATCAAAATGCATGTCAATCTAATTACTATTGTGCGTGTAAAATTAGACTCATTATCACTTAAAAATTGGATGATAGTCTACGTAATTTTCTTAAATATTTTTGTATCTTTTTTAAAAAACTAGTTTTGGTACGTGTCGTATTTAGTTATAATTAACTTTTTATATCGTAAAATACAAACAATAATAAGTAAGAAAAAATAGATGAAAATTTTTATTTAGAGATTATGAAAGAGTATATATTAAGTGGTAGTATGTAAGTCCTAGCGAAAATTTCATATCTAACTCCACCACAAAATGTAGACATTAAATCTCAGAAACATCATCTGCTCTTTTTTTTTTTTTTTTTATAAAAAAAAGTATACATTAGTAGTAGTTTAAGTGACAAGATTATGTTTATTTATAGAAATACATGAAACATTCTAAATTATAAGATAATAAAGTAAAAAAATAAATGAATAAATAAAGGATTTAAAACTTAAAAATGAAAGTAAAAAAAGTAAAACACCTAAATACTTACCGTTTTGAACCACGTAGGATGCACACAAATTATGAAATAAAAAAATAAAAAAATAAAGGAGCTAAAACTTAAAAATATAAGGAAAAAAACAAAACACTTAAAACTCATTGTTTTAAACTACCATAAGATGAACAACAACCAAATATATACTTAGGAAGTAGGATTAGCATTAGGATTTAAGATGTATGGAAAATAAAAGAAAGAAATAAAAAAGTTTTAAAAAAACACCAAAAGGGTTATGGAAAACAAAAAAAAAAGTTAAAAGAAAGAGAGAAAAGAGAGAGGGCAAAAAAAGAATAAAATGGTGCGTAAATGACTACAAAAAATAAACAGTACAGTTTTACCTACTATTTTATACATTTAGTATTTATTATTTGGATAAGATAAGATTTAAGTGAAAAAATGTAACATTTTATGGTTCATAAACTACGTTATTTACTAATACATCGTTTTCTTTTTATTTCAAGTTTTTGAAAAGGGAAAAATAGAACAAAAAAATTGAAATAAGCAAAGAAGCAAAACCATTTCTCAAAAAAGAAAGAAAGAAAGAAAGATGATAATCTCTTTTCATAACGTTTTAGATCATCTTATTCGTGTCTTTGAGAGCCAGAAGCATATGTATAATTTATATCTCACATGATCTCTTGTAGAAATACTGAACCGAGTATAGACACAATTAAATGATTTTATGACCAACACAAAATAGAAGAATGTTTTTTTTTCTTTGCAAACAATAAATAAAAGAAGGTTGACAACGGAAACATTTAGGGGACGTTTGTTTCCTATATTCGTCCCTAATTCTGAATCATGAGTTATGGTTCTCTACAGTATTTTTTCTTACAAAAAATATACGTAAAATGAGAATAATTTTGAATCAAGATTTTGATTACATAAACCAAACGTCTTCTTATAATAAAAATTATCCATCTTAACCATTGGTAGAACCTATTATTTTAATCATTAAACTAGATTTTAATAGTGCGAGTGTTCACGTGAAGAAATTTGCAAGCGCAACATTAAAATTTAATCTAACGATTTAAAGAGTTAGCCTACTAATAATAGCTAAAAAAAGACATACAGTGTAATATCACAGTATAAATCCTCAATTAAAAATAAAAATTTTCTAATACATTTAGCGTAGCAATAAATTAAAATTTTATAACTGTTAAATTTATATACTTTTTAATTTTTATAAATTTTTATATAAATTTAATAAATAAAAAATTTGATCCATAAGTATATTAGCGTACTATAAAAAATTCCTTAAAAAGAAAAGAAAAGAAGCTCAACTTCTAGAGGATAAAAATTGACCACCGTGAAAACTACAGCCTCAAAAATAAAAGTGGGACCCTCCGATCCAATTGAAAAGAAATAAGAATATCATATTCTACTGTCCATGTCCCACCCCCTCAAAATAATGACACGTGTTAAGTCTATCAAAAATCACGGGACCCAAAAGCCCATAACCACGTCATCCGTGGCGCCACACTCCCATTCTATATAACAAAACAACCGTACAAGTTTAGCTCCACTTACTGAACACTCTCCAACAGTACCAGACCCAGAGCATGAAAACCATTACTTCTTTCTTCTTTTCGCTCCATTCTCTGGTAATCCTGTTCTGTGTGACGGCCGACCATGGCGTCTCCGGCGAAGGAACAAGCATAGTCTTCACTACGCTCGGAAGGTTGGACTACGCCTTCGACATCTTCACCCTCCCCACCGACCGCCCACCGACGATCTCCAACGAAATCCAGATCACCGACGGCGAGTCCGTCAACTTCAACGGCCATTTTCCTTCTCCCTCGTCGACCTCCTCGCTTCTCTCTCTCTTACCCAACCAAACCCTAATTCAAACCCTCCTCCCAACCGATCCCCCACCTCTGCAACTCATCTACGTCACCGAGAGAGACGGCGTCTCCAGTCTCTACTACGATGTCGTATTCCCCGATTCCCCTACTTCGCGGAGCATCGGAAGAAGGTCGGCACTCGAATTCCCGGATAGAGTTCAGTTTCCTCTTTTGGGAGAGGACCTGATTCAGAACAAGATTTCCATGAAAGACCGGCCTAATTTGGCCGGAGATTACTTGGTCTACATATCGACTCATGAGAACACGGGCAAGCCGAGGACGAGTTGGGCCGCGGTGTACTCAACCGAGTTGAAATCGGGCACGACTCGGAGGCTGACCCCTTACGGAGTGGCCGATTTCAGCCCCTCGGTTTCACCGTCGGGGATTTTGACGGCGGTGGCTTCGTACGGAGCGAAGGGATGGGACGGAGAAGTCGAGGAGCTGAGTACGGACATCTACGTTTTCCTGACTCGGGACGGGACTCAGCGAGTCAAGGTTGTCGAACACGGCGGTTGGCCGTGTTGGACGGACGAGTCCACTATTTACTTCCACCGGAGAGGCGAAGACCAGTGGTGGAGTATTTACCGCGCGATCCTCCCCGTCAACGGCGAGATTTCCGTCGACTCGGTGGTGGTGGAGCGAATCACCCCACCGGGTCTCCACGCGTTCACTCCGGCCACGTCACCAGGCAACAAGAAGATCATAGCCGTCGCCACAAGAAGACCCGACACTCAATTTCGCCACGTGGAGCTCTTCGACCTGGATAAGAACGAGTTCATCCAGTTAACTCGCCGTGTCTCGCCGCGGACTCACCACTTTAACCCGTTCTTCTCGACTGACTCGTCCCGGGTCGGATACCATAAATGCAGAGGCGACGGCAACGGTAGAAAAGGCCCCAAAATTTTACTCGAAAACATCCACAGCCCAGCCTCCGACATCTCTCTCTTCCGAATCGACGGCTCGTTCCCTTCCGTCTCGCCGGACAATGACCGTATCGCTTTCGTGGACTTCCCGGGTCTCTACGCTCTTCCGAATCGACGGCTCGTTCCCTTCCGTCTCGCCGGACAATGACCGAATAGCTTTCGTGGACTTCCCGGGTCTCTACATCATCGATCTTGACGGTTCGAACCGGAGGCAAGTATACGGCGGAAACGCGTTCTCCACCGCCTGGAACCCGGTTCGCAAGGGGGTTGTGTACACCGGCGCCGGACCAGAGTTCGCTCCGGTGAGTACAGAAGTGGACATAATCGCCGTCAACGTAGAGGATCCGGAGAAGATCGTGGTCAAGAAGCTGACGACAAACGGCAAAAACAACGCCTTCCCCTCGCTTTCTCCGGACGGGAATCGGATCGTTTTTCGATCGGGTCAAACCGGGTTCAAGAATCTATACATAATGGACGCTGTGAAAGGAGAGGAAGGTGGGCTCCACAGGCTGACGGAGGGCCCTTGGACGGACACGATGTGCAATTGGTCTCCAGATGGTGAGTGGATCGCGTTCGCTTCGGATCGGGAAAACCCAGGCAGCGGGAGCTTCGAACTGTATCTGATCCACCCGAATGGAACCGGGTTGAGGACACTGATTGAAAGCGGGTCGGGTGGTCGGACTAACCACCCGTGGTTCAGTCCGGATGGGAAGAAGTTGGCTTTCACTTCGGACTACGCCGGTATATCGGCGGAGCCGATCTCAAATCCGCATCATTATCAGCCGTACGGCGAGATTTTCACTGTTAATTTCGACGGCTCTGATGTGAGAAGGTTGACTCATAATTCATACGAGGATGGGACCCCCACTTGGGTGCCCAAATTCATCAGGCCCGTTGATGTGGAGTGGCCTGTTGATAGGCCCCGCTGTGAGTTCGAGGACTTGCACTGGCTCAATGAGATGCCCAAGCCCAGCTATCGTTATGGGCCATCAGACTTGGGCTCAAATAAGGTTCAGTGTGGTGCAAGGTTCTAGTTGTTTGAAAAAACTTTGAAGAACTTGTCTTTTTTTACTGTTGGCTGTAAATTGTAATGTGGAAATATTATGTAATCTATCAAGGCGAGATTGTAACAAAAGTGCAATAAAGAACTACACGGGATTTATAAATTATAATCTAGTTCTGCTGTCGTTTGCTGATTAATTTTTAATTACCATTTTAGGTTTTGAAATTCTGATTGAACAGTGATGAATATGCTCTATTAAAAATGGAAGCATATGACACAAACTCCTCTAATTCTTAAGAGATTTTTAGTTCACTGAAAACGCTTTTCAGTCAGCTCACCCCCAATACCGCACAGAAAGCTAATGGTGCTACGTTAAAAGATAAAACGACAACAAAGAAAAAAGAGGGGAAAAAGGAAAACAAAAATGTACAATTTAGTAGAAAATTGAATTCCATTTCTATTGCATGGAATCAGAACCAGCCACCAATCAGAATTACAAAAGTAATGCCCATTGTGGTTGGTGTACCAACTTAAGTATCCATTGTGGCATTGCTTTCTTCAATTGTGGAAAAACTCTGGAGGGATCATAGGAGGGACGTACTTCTTCGCCACATACTTGTACTGAGGCAGAAATAAACAATGTCATTAGACTTGAACATGGGCCCATTTGTTTTGCGAGTTTGAGTTATGAACTTGAATTGAAAAAGTGAATTTATGTGAGAAAATATTGTAGCACAGAAAGTTGAATTTGAATTTTTATGAGAGAAAACATTGAAACAAAAAGTTTGAGTTGTGATTGGAAATGTAAAACGAATGGGAACATTTAAGAAGATTCAATTTCAGTAACTCTTGCTTTACCTTATGTTGGCTGTATTTCTCCCTGATAGCAGGTAAACTTGAATTGTGGTTGTTAGAGCATAGGCGATGGAGATCCTTGACACACTTACACAAATCTGCTGGCCTGTATAATGTGTAGTGTTGCAAGGTGGAATTCTGTTCCCATGAAGAAAGACTATGGTTATTACCAAGATTTGTGATAATGGGGAAATCTTAAACTTTGTTTAAGTTTAAACATACCCAAGGCCGCTTTGAGGGGAGAAGAATAAAATTGGCCAAGAAAATTGCTGAAGCTGCAATAAGCGACGGAGCGTAACAAAGCATACTGTACTCTAGAAGAGATAGTTCTGCAAGGTAGTTAGCCAAGCACTCCAACTGCATTGATGGGACCTCATTGATCCCTTGAGCAGCTCGGACAAATCTCCTGGATTCCACATCAATGTATCACAAGTTACTTCACAAGAAAGTGCGAATGGGAAGACGAAATTACAACAAAACACAATGTCAAGGCTGCTGATGGCATTACCTTAAGAAACATTTGGTTGTTGGGGCTGTCAATTCAAACTTCAAGTAATTCAAAACAGAGGATTCCATTTGCAAAACCTACAAAATGAGGGGAAAATGCAGTGTGTTAATGGAAGCTTGGGGTAGAGTACTTGTGCAATTTAGCCAAATGAAGGAGAGAGCCCAACCTCTTCCTTGAAATAGGTGTTATCAGTTATGTAACAAAATTCTTCGACCTGGGGTGCGCAAATCTCCTCGTATTTTCTAGAAATGACATAGTTTTGCTCGTTATTAGCACACCTCAAACAGGGTCATAATAGTGTATAACTCAGAAATAAACATGGGGTCTTTTTGTTTCTTACGATGCAATCATCATGCAGGCTACACCAAGCAACTGTAACCGTTGCCTATTCATCACATTCCCAGAGAGATATCGGTCGATGTAATTCACGGTCAAGTACAATGTATCAGGTACAAGCCTGTACTCTTCAGCCACCTGAAATAACAATTGGAGTTTCAGTATTTTTAAAGCCGCAAGAATCCAGTAGAAAAATCAACAGCAATGAGCACAATGCAGCATTGGTTTGAAAGAAATACGCATGCGAAAAACAAATCTGTAGCCATTAAAATGTCCCTTTTCCAAGACAAAAACTTGATCATTACATTACCTCCACAAGCCAATCAATTAGAATTGCCCGCATGCTTGGATTCACGTCTTTCTGAGTTTTCTCCATGAAATCTGTAGAAGGCCTTTTCTTTACCTGAAATCCCAGGTAAAAAAAAAATGAAGTCAGTGAGAACAGACGGACAAAAAATCCAATCATCCAAGAAAAATTCTTTGCAAAGTAAGCTGTATAACATGGGGACAGAATTTAAACCTCAGATGCACGCAAATGCTGGTAAATATCACAAGCAATGGTTGCACAAAGTTGAGGGTCCGTGTAATCGTTATCAACATCAACAACTTTATCATCTACTTCCATTTCCACTAATACATCTCTACTGCAGACATTCCCTGCAAGAAATTTAAACAAACAAACAAATCAATAGATAAATAATAAACAAAGAGGAAGGGAAAACTATTGCAAGATCAAAACCATGAAAGTCAAACAAGTGATGGATAAAAACTCAAACAACATGAACTGTGCGGACATAAACCTGTTGTTTCTGAATGATCTGAAATATATAGGTTGCTGAATGTCTTGCGGTTGATAGAATCAACTGCCGGGGCATCATTATTGTCAACATATTCAACTTCCGGAGACTTGAAGGAATCACAAGTAGACATCGTCTCATCCAAGGAAACCGAGACATCATCAGACTTACTCGGAGACATGTCCATGCTGCACGGGGCAGGAACAGCAACCGTTCTAGGCAGAGTTTCATCACTTCTTGGGAGAGAAGAAGTCACCTTAGAAGGAACAATTATATTTGTTTTGACATTCAAGGACGAATTAGTACTAGTGCAGGCCAGAGGACCCTTTTTCACTTTGGCAATCTTAGTTGTTGCACATGGTACCTGTACATAAATTCAATCCCCATATAACTAATTAGTTCCAAATTTTCAATTTGATCCCAAAATAAAGAAGCTTTCTCCAACATTTTAAAAAAAAAAAAAAAAAAACATATATAGAGAGTAATACAAGCTGAGAGATTGATTCAGTTTCTACATTGCCTTGCCCCTTACAATATATTCTAGTTAAAATCCACAATGTTGCTCTCACTTATTCTGGGCATTTATGAATAATCTTGCTCTAAACTTGTTCAAATTACTCAGCTGAAAATGACCCACGTTCTTTGGTTTCTCAGCAAAGAATTTTTTTATGGGAAGAACTCATAAAGATAGTTCCCTAAGAACCCACAAAAAGCTAAACCCTGTAGAGATAAACTAGGCACAAATATTGAACAAAGAAAATCACAAAAGATTCAAAGATTACTACATGTTTATCTCTAACATTTTCTGGGCAACATTAGAAGGAACAAATAATAATAATAACAATAAATTTGAACGATTAGATTATTACCAAAGTGGAAGGTGGAACGGCGGTCCGTGAGGCGTTTTGAGAGACGGCATTACTCCGATTAGTGATGTTGCCGAGAGGCGCCCGCTTCTTCGCCAAATGCGGCGGCACAGCTGTGGCCTTACTGTTATTATTCCCCACGTTCTCCGACGACGACGAAGAAGCGTGTCGTTTGGCCAACGACGACGTCGTCGACGACGAAAACGACGAACGGCGGTTCTGGGTCGACATTTTCTTGGGCACCAAACCAAACCCACTTGGGAATTCGCGTCCAAGAACCAGCTAAGAGCGAAGAAAACTACCCTTTTAGAACCGAGAGAGACAAAGAAAAAGATTAATCTTGTTTTATGGAGAAGAAGTCGAAAGAGTTTTTAGGCAGAATTCTTGGATTTTGTTGGACGACGCATATTTGAAAAAAAAAGAAACGAGCTTTTTCTTTTTCTTTTTTTTTTTTTTTTTTTTTTTTTTTTTGCACTTGGCAGAGTAGTCGGGGGAGAGAGTCAAGTGTGCCAAGTGAGAGGGTTTCTCTCCTCCTGAATTAAATAAATAAAAAACAAATAAATAGATTGTTTTTTAATTCTGCTTTTGAAGCGGGGAGTTCGTATAATTTGAATTGCGTGAGATCTTGACCGTTGGATCGGCTCGGTATTCGTTAGGAGCGGACAAGAGTTTGTGGGCCCCCACCCCCAAAGGGTTATACGCTCTCCTTGGTTTGAAAAAAAAGCTGCGCATTTGAGACATGACTTTCTTGGTCGCACGGAATCAGATAGAGTTAGTTAATGCACACTAGAGAGTACGAAAAGGGTCAACCACGTGACAGCCTTTTGGGTTTCATATTTGGCAAGATTTAATTGGGCCGTTGAGTGATCTTTAAGTCACAGGCTGTCAGATTAAATTTCTTGTGTGTGCATTTGAATTCGAATTCAAACGGTCAGTGTTAGGAATTAGGATCTTGCTTGGTTTCTTTTCTGGCCTTTGTAATGGCGAGACAGCGTCCACGGTAACCTAATCTAATTCGTCAGTGTCATACATAGAAAAGCTGATCCAGAGAGGTTGTTTGTTTGGAAAATTCGTTCCCTGATTCGAATCATAATTCGTGATTCGCTACAGTATTTTTTTCCACAAAAAATACACGTAAATTGAAGATGGTTCTAATATATGAACCAAACATCTCCCGCCAACGATTATACTTCCTTATATTATTTCTTATTTACACATTAAACACATTTATTATCGTTCATTAAAGCTTTTTTTCTCGTTTTAGCTCATTTTCTAATACCTTAAAGCGCTCATCTGTCTTGTTGATTTGAAATTTGAACTCTTATACTGTACGGATTCGAGTATTGACTTATCTCTAGACTATGGTTGCAACTACAACATGATGCTACATATATGATTGATTTTAATAATTAACATATATAAAATAAAGTTTATAAAGCATACAGCTCAGAAACAATATTCGATGCAATAGTGCCCAAGAATTATATACTTGAGAAGTCATTCTTACACGAGATGGATCTCAAAGGACGACTGCTTACAGACCTAACCGTCGAAATATTTACAATATCAAGTCCAATGAATATGCAATAGGAGTTAAAAAAAAAAATGTTAAGAGTTCAAAATGTCACCACAATATGTGGACAGAAACAATTGTGTGAAGTCAAAACAAACCAGCAGAAGGTGGTAATAACTGGTAATCTTCAGGTGCATCTTAATACAACCAGCAACATGTGAAGCTGTAAAATCTAGTGGCTTAAATCTTGGAAGAACTCCGGAGGTAATGACAAAGGACAGTATTTCTGTGCTACAAATTTGTACTGAAACATAAAAATAAATAAATAAATAACACTTAATAAGCTAACAAGTCACGGGTTATTGTCAATTCAAACAAAGGGAGAGTATATATTGCATACAGGTAATCCACCAAAACAATGTGAATGAATTATTATGTTACTGCTTATTTTTTGCATGCGCATGCCGTGCTACTCTTTTAGATGTGTCATATTATATGTGTGTTTATATTAAACAGAGACGTTGAAAGATACAGAATCTGGATTTTAATATATATATATATATATAGGCAATTCAATTAGTCATAACTGAACATCTCAAGAGGCATACAACGACTATTGAATTTACTGGTGGATGAAAGTTTCTTTATGCCTCTGATTTAAATGTCCCAATGCAATTTCCCCTCGATGTAAATAATCCTAGCTGTGACACGCGTTATCAGATGAATCAAATGTTCAAATTGAAATATCAATTGATTGTATGCAAGAAACACTCTAATTAAATTGTTAATTCCCTTTGACATGGAAGGTCGGGAATTTCCAGTGTCAGTTTCAACAGCAAAACCTAATTTAGAAGAGTAGAGAAGCACTAAAAATAGACTTTGATAATAGCAAATTCAGTACATCTTATAATTTAACTTTAGAAAGGAAAAGAGGTTTTTCTAACCTTATGGTGACTGTACTTCTCCCGAATTGCAGGCAAATTAGAATTACTGCCACTACACCACAGATGATGCAGAGCCTTGACACATTCACGCAAGTCAGAAGCTTGATAAAATGTGTAAGACATCAATGTAGAATTCTGTAGCAGAACAAAACAACTGTATCCCTTAAGTTAATCAAAGAAATAAAAACATCTTCCCAACCAAAAAAAAAAAAAAAAAAAAATATATATATATATATATATATATATATACTTGACCTGGCTCACACCGTCACACGTACCCAAGGTTTATTTACTGGAGACAGTATATATTTGGCCAAGAAAGTAGCAGAAGCCGCTATTAATGATGGGGCATAACAAAGCATGCCATAATCCAGAAGAGATAGCTCTGCAAGATAGTTGGCCATACATTCCATATGCATTGATGGAACCTAGTAAAGAACCAAGTAACACACCACGAACAAAAAGAGATCACAAAACAATGATGGCTGAAAGAAGTTGGAACCCAATACTCTTTGAAGAGCTTTGGTCAAAAGCAGAAGAAAAAGAAAACAATTCGTCAATTCCTTCAAAGTGATGACTGATAACAAAAAGTTACTAGCTTATTGAAACATAAATAGCTTATTTCAGTGTTCTTTGGCCTTATTAAAATGGAGAAAAGAGTTAAACTGACAAACTGAGGCTTTGTCAAATGTAGAGATACCTCGCTGGTCAGTTGAGCTACACAAACAAATCGCCTAAACAATCGTCATGAACAAGAAGTTAATGACCATTCAATAAAATAGGAACTTGTAGTAAACATGTCAGTAACAAAAAGAAAGCTAACGATTACCTCAAAAAACAAATAGCAGTTGGAGCTCCCATTTCAAACTTCAAGTGGTTCAGCACAGCTGACTCCATTTGCAAGACCTGTAGAAATCAAACTGATCTAGATATAATGTAGGATCACTTGGCATTTCAAACTTGAATAAGCATGTAGAAATAGGATATGATAATTGGAAAAGAGCTCCAAACCTCTTCCTTGAAGTACGTATTGTCAGTTACATAACAAAACTCTTCTACATGGGGTGCGGTGATCTCCTCATATTTACTGGAAAGAATGTTATTGCTTCAATTATTACACACTTCATATCTAATAAAATGCTTAGAAAGACACATAGCCGTGCCAAAAGTGCAATCAATCACAAAGGGAGACAGAGTATGTTTATAAGTAAACAAAAGTAAACTATAATCTTACGCTGCAATCATCATGCATGCAACCCCAAGCAATTGTAACCGTTGTCTTTTCATTACAGTGCCAGAAAGATAGCGGTCTATGTAGTTAACAGACAAAAATAGCGTATCAGGTTGTAGCCTGTACTCTTCGGCAACCTAAAATTGAATTAAATTTAAGATAAGTAGATAACTAGTCAAACAACATAAGAAACTTCACTCTGACAAGAAGGAGGATATTGGTAATGAGAAGTTTATCAAGCCAGGGCAAAGCCAAAGTACACTTATCAAGATATGTAGGGGTAACATATCACTGAGAATGTGGATGGATGATGAAGGAACAGAACATTTAGATACCCTAAACCAATATGAACGGAAAGTGATAGACTTACTAGATGTGATTATTCTTCTAAAGATCGTCTTAAGATGATAAACTAAGTTTATGTATTGTTTATTTTTGGCACACTTATGCATTTTCTTTAATTTTGTGATTTTTTTCTTTTACATTCGAAGTGTAGCCTCAGTTTGCTTTGAGGCTTACTCCAGGCTTCAATTGGAGAAAAAACCTCGCTTTCCGATTTAGCCTTTTTAACATTGAAATTTCTTGATTTTAAAGATCATGGCCCAACATAGCTTACCTCCACAAGCCAATCAATCAACATAGCACGCATGCTGGCAGTGATGTCTTTTTGGATCCTTTCCATAAAGTCCAGAGAAGGTCTGTAATTAGCCTGAAACCCAATACATAAAAATGAAATTACCAAGACATCATGCCCGGAACTCTGAAGCCTAGTTGGAGGATTTACCAAAACTCTACTTGAGAACAAAATACATATTCTGACAAATAGAATTTTCTAGACCAGCAAGATTTTTGTGGAAAAAAGCAATTGATGCAAACAATATACTCAAACGTCCATCGTTACTATAAAATTGTTTTTTTAGGCTTCAATATCAGGGAATGAATGGCACACCGCATAGATTATCTGAGTTTCCATGTAGAAACATTAGTTGATAGTAACATTTATTGTGCCTGCATTTACAATACACCGTACATGTTTTAACATTATATCAACTAGCTATGTCCTTGTCCACTTTTGTTCCCTCTTTATATTTTGTTTGACCCAGTAGAAAAAAAAATGAAGAAAAGTAACAACCAAAGAAGAATCTCATAAAAGAAAGTTGGAAGATGAAGAAGAAGAAGAGTACTATGATTGACATCATAAAAATTATAGAACACAAGAAACTATAATGGAGAAAAAAAAATCTGTTTCTCTACTATTCAAAAAAATAAATAAATAGAACCTCAGATGCACGCAAATATTTGTATACGTCAGAAGCGATGGTTGCAAAGAACTGGGGGTTGATCAAATTGTCAATAAAGGCAACTTTATCAGTCGTTTCCACATCAAAGAATACATCTCTATTGCACGTGCTTCCTGAAATCAAAATGAGAAAGCTACATAAAAATGGCAATAAGAGATAATCACTGCATGATTAGATGGTTAGCTAAAGAAGCATTTACTTCCTGAAATCAGAATGAGAACGGCTACATCAAAATGACAATAAGAGATGAGCACTACATGATTAGATGATTAGTCAAAGAATGCTATTAGCGTTTTATGCCCCACATTCGCTAAAATTGTCATCACGCTAATCATCAATCCTAACAAACTTGTTGGAAGCATAGTCCCAAGTAATGTAACATCCAGAGAAAACAAAGCATTAAGCAAGTTTAATTCCTTAAAGAAGAGACCTGGTTTTCCCAAATCTTCGGAAATGCAGAAACTGTTACTTGGCTTTCCCTCAATAGAATTAACAGCTGATGAAACTTCCTCATTATCATCACAATCAAAATCTTGACACTTCAAGGAATCACAAATAGAAAAGTTCCCGTCCAAATAGACAGAAACACCAACTGATCTACTTGGAGAAGCATCAATGCACCTCGGTGCATTAGTTATCCTACGTTGTGCAATAAGAGCGGTATCCCTTATAGTTAGAGAAGCATTGCTTGAAGGAACCCCAATCGTTGGTTTCGAACTCGAGGATTCCAGCAAAGTATGTCTTGAGATGTCTGTACTTGGAATGCAGGCAGAAAATTCACTCTTTGTTTTGGCAATTTTTGCCATACATGGAACCTTCAAGTGCAATTTTCTTAATCATTATCTCAAGCAGATCTTGGATTGATATTTCTTAAGAAATCTACTACGTCAATGTAAAGCAAAAGATCAAAACGTACCGCTTAAAACAAAAAAATATTCAAGATAACAACATCATCCCGTCAACACATACAGATTATTTACCTTTAACAACAAATCAAATACATATCGCTAAACACACATTTACCTATATTTGTACTATTATGGATAAATAAACGAAAAATTAGAACAAATTAGTAGGTATAATCATCACACACATTTTACCTATATTTGTACTACTATGCATAAATAAACGAAATTATAACAAATTAGTAGCTATAATCATCCGTCATTTCATTACACCCAACAAATAACACAAATAATCACCCCCAAACAAAAATTGTCAAAAACTAGAGAAGAAAATACGGACCATAGGCTTCAATGGAAATGATGAAGTTTTCGGACCAGTCTGAGAGCCATTCTTTTGGTTCGTGATGTCTGCGAGAGCCGATCGCTTCTTTGCCAACTGCGCCTTCGACGCCATGACCTTTTCCCCCGATTTATCAGAAGACGAAGTCGTCTTTTCTTGGAAGATGTAAGATAATGGTGATGAAACTAAGGTGATCTTGTGGGGCATAAACCTAATCAGAAATGTCGCACAATGTCGAGAAATTAGTTTCGCTTACAAAATGGTAAGGCGTACAATACACTTGTTCGGTGCTCGTCGAATGCCCAGAATTGATTATTGATGGGGTTAGGGTTTTCGATTTGGGGTTTTTTTCAGAGAGAGAGAGGGGAAGGTGTTGAGAGGAGCGGGAAATGCGCTTCCTTGATAATGAAGAAACTGAGAGCGCGAATACATAGGCTTTTTAAGGGCTGAGAGATCGTGACCGTCTATACGGTATAAGTATATCTGAACCGTTCATTGGGTCGGAAATAGTTGCGGCAGTTTTAAGCTAACTTTTGATTACGAGGAGTACAAATTCTATAGGAAAAAAAATGTTATGTTCTTCATGCTCGAATCTAATTCTAAGTATAATCTAGTTCTAAGTATAATGCTTAGGAAATGATTCTAAGTTCTAAGTATAATCTAGTTCTAATAACAAGTTATTACAAAATTGTTTTAAGAAAAAAAAAAAAAAAAAAAAACTAACTAACTAACTAACTAACTTTTGATTATAATCAGAGTATTTTACACATTTACCTTTAAACTTGTATGGTTTTACAAACTTGACCACTAAACTTTTAATTTTAATAAATAGTCCTTTCAATTTATAAAATTATTACAATATGTCCCATTTTGATAATGATTGTGCTAAATTAGTATCGAAAAAGTATGTTCAACGAAAAATCCAACATCCTAATTCAAACGTAAAATAAAATTTTCAATTAATCAACCTTTAATTCTTTAAATCTATTAAGAAATTTAAACAAATTTAGTAAAATAAACCACATTGCAACGATTCTATAAGTTCAGAAGATTGATTGTTAAAATTAAAAGTTTATAGTAAATTGCTAAACACGACAAGTTAGAAAGGCAATTGTGTTTAAAAAACCTTATAATTATTACTTATTTAAAAATCTCACTTATTATTTCCAAAATTATAATATTATTTTCACATAAAACTGGCCCTTGGCCTATAGTCCCTTTAATAAAATTTCTTCTCTTTTTTTTTAATTCTTAAAAGAGAAAATAGTGATCTAAGTTGTTGTAGGCATAAATCACAACAACAATTAAGAACAATCGCCTCTCTTGTTCTAATTCAAGAATTTTAAACGAGTATGAAAAAGATTTGTGATTGGGTTTATGGTGATTGGATCTTTGGTCGGCGTAAAGGTTTATTGTGATTAGGTTTATAGTTAAAGGTTGTGTATTTAGTAGCTTTATTTGAGGGTCTTAAATGTAAAGATTTATTCACATTAATTAATTATTCAATTTAAAATGATCGTGAACATGCCTCTATGTATCCTAATTGATAACACGTTGAATTTGATTGGAAAACTTATCAAACAAATAAACTAAATATCTTGGAGAGCAAGTAACTCAATCATAATAGGATTCTACTTGTGTCACAAGCCCTTTGTACCTCCCTGTGCCTGGACTTGTGACCTCATATGGTCTCACCACAGTATGTTCTAAAATTCATTTAATTAAATAATCATATTATTTATTTCGAGTGATATTAAATCCTGATAATTCATCTTGTCTTATAAATATTATAAGGATTATATGGGGACTCACGGACCTATAATTCTTAGCTCTAATAAAATTAATAATTAATTAATTAATTAATTATATTATATTAATTCTCAAAAGTTACTCTACTAAAAACTTGGAATTGCACTCTTGAAATTATAAACATAATTTACTTCTAAGAACTTGAAGTGTCCATTCAATATAGTCATTACATATAGATTAATTCTCAATAAATAATTTATAATTAGAGCTAGGTAAAATTCGTTATCCTATCTAATTACATATTTATCCTTGAGTACCATTGATTCTCTAATGAATAGTATATTCATAAAACACATTCATGAATACGAGCTCGTTACTTATTTAAGTACGAATTATTTATCTATTTCTTCAAAGAAGAAGGAATGGATTCCATCTCGTATATTAGCATTCATGGCTATCCATTTCATCACGTTTCTAAGATACAAGAAATATGATTTAAGATCTCGAAATTCGTATCAAGTGAGTCAAAAAATACAAATTCATAAATAAGAATCTACTAATAACTCATGATTAAGATCATTCTATATATGACAATCGGTAGACTCAATTTTGATTTTCTATAGTTAACGAAAATTATCAAAAAATTAAATTGTGTCTATGTCACAGTTCTACATAATCTTATTATGCATAATACACTTATTCAATATCCCTCTATATTAATGATGCGGATAACACTATTCTATTCTTAATAGGAACGACGTGTATTAGTAATGTTTTAATTAAAGATTTTGAAACTTTAATTAAATTCGTTACAAACATTATTTCGATTATTATCCTTAAATATTTTCCTCTCATATATACCACTTATATACAATATTTAAGGCCACATAAATAATCACAGAATTTTCAATGATATTTATAAAGTATTCAATAATACATGTACATAAATAACAAACAAACTATTGTATTAATTAAATAATAAATATCTTTATTACATCTCATCTTTTAAAGACATTATTCCTAATAGGATTGCACAAATTAAAAGTAAATCTTAATTCAATTCGAAAAAATCTAAATTGATTACCATGAGGCTCCAACCTCACCTAATAAAATAACCAAACAATAACAACAACAATAATAAAGATTTTGTGGATTGGACTTCGCACAATAATGAGTTTATTATTTGGCCATTTGAATTTACAAATATTTTAGGCACATTTTTGAACTATTCTCATGTGTTATAAATGAATATAGGGAATGGTTGTGGTACCATAAGGCTTATTTGCGGTATTGATAACCTTTATTTTTTTTTTCAAATCGTCAGATTGAATATCAATAGCTCCAGATAATGTCTCTATGAAATAGGGAAAAAAAATTTCAATAATAACCTTTTTTTTAATATATTTAATAATTTTTAAAAAATGAAAAATACTTATAAAAAGTTAAATTTGGCCAAAATACACAACAAAATATCTCGCTGTAGGCCACACTCCGCACACTCGTCGCAGATCGTCATGCATCACCGCGCGTATGACAACGCCACCCCGACCAAACAACTCTCTCGCCGCCGATCTATAAAACCCAACCGTTTGTTTGTCAAATATCGGTTGAAATCGCTACCGCCACCGCCGCCCCTTATAAGTCGTGACATAACCATATTCGCGTCTAAGTATATGTTGCGCGTTGTCAGGCACCACTACCGGGCATCAACTCAAACCTCTCCGTACAACAAAGCCCAGTGGTCTTACTGCTATATCTTACTAGAAAACACTGTCACAAGCCACCGAGAACCCACGATTCTCCGTCCTTTGCTCTGATCAATGGCTGCCATCAGGCGGAAAGGTCACTCTATTTCTCTAGCGACGGAATCAGACTGCAACTCCATCCACCCTTTTCGGCGGGATTCCATCATGACCCCTCTCTCTCTCTATGGAAGGCTTTTTTTTTCTTTGTTCTTTTCCTCTAAAGTGTTGTGTTAATTGCCTGATTTTATCTTACGGTTATTTTGGTGCATCCATTAAAATTTCAACCATTAAAAACAAATATAATTTGTGCAATATATACAATATCAATAATAGAAAGCAACTCGCGGTATTGTAATTTTTTCCATGAATATAAGCTATGATTGGTTCTCAAAATTTCAATTGAGATGATCAGTAAAGAAGACAAAAAGGGGAGGTTGGTAAAAGCTCAAATGACATACGATTGAGGGTCGTGGTGTAATGATAAAAACGTCCTTATTAGATCTTTTTATCTATTCTTTCAGGATTTGATACTCCGTACCCGTGCGCGGGGGTTGGTAAAAGCTCAAACGACATGCCATTGAGGGTCGTGGTGTAATGATAAAAACGTCCTTATTAGATCTTTTTATCTATCCTTTCAGGATTTGATACTCCGTACCCGTGCGTTGCTGTCCTGTCCCTTGTGAGAAATTAAGTGAGCCTCCACATGGCACACAAGATGGAGAAAAGTGAAAACTAATTAGATGGTCAATAAGATACTAGTTCAAGCCCTTTTAACGTACTCGATAATGCCGCAGGGGGGGAATTCTAAAAGCTCAAACGACATACCATCAAGAGTTGTGGTGTAATGATAAGAACGTCCTTATTAGATCTCTTTTATCTATCTTTTTAGGGTTTGATACTCTGCACTTGCGCACAAGATGGAAAAAAGTGAAAACTAATTAGATGATCAATAAAATACTAGTTCAAGTCTTTTAACATACTCAATAATGCTGACATTACTTGCTATAGCTAAAAGAGTTAAAGGAGATTGGCTTCGTTCACTTCGCAGATTCGACTTTTCAATTCGAGTTGATATGTGACATTTTTTAAGAGCTTTTTACTGTAGTAAAAAAAATTAGTCAATAATGCTGACATTACTTGCTATAGCTAAAAGAGTTAAAGGAGATTGACTTCGTTCACTTCGCAGATTCGACTTTTCAATTCGAGTTGATATGTGACATTTTTTAAGAGCTTTTTACTGTAGTAAAAAAATTAGATGTGACATTTTTTAAGAATTTTTTACTGTAAAAACTTAAAATTAAAAACTCGAATTGGTGAATTGAATGAGGTCAAAGTACATCACCATATTCTTTTTTTCGAGTAGCAAAGAAAACTTGTTGCCCTTTCCAGAATTTTGCTTCATAAACAGCAAATAGACGTCATGCCCTATCATTTTTATTTTTTCTATTTTTCTATTTAAAACTCGTCGTTTTTCCAAATCGCAGGAAAATTAAAGCGGGAAAGCAAGGAAGCCCTAGAAAGCGGGAAGCGGAGAGAGGAGAGAGAAGGAAGAAAGAGATGGCGCCAGTTATGCAGAGCTCTCAGCCATGGGTGGAGAAATAGTACGATCTCTCTCTCTCTCAATCTCTTTTTCATTACCCATTTCCTCTAAATTAATTTTAATCGCTCATTTTTCCGAATTTATTATGTACATATTTTGATCTTCGATTGATTTTGCTACGTTTTTCAGCCGGCCCAAGCAAGTAAAAGACGTGGCTCACCAGGACGAGGTGGTCCGGGTCCTCACCAACACCCTCGAAACCACTAGTGTAATAAATTTTATGCATAACTTCAATCGATTCAGTTTACCAAAACCATATCCTTGTTTTTTTTTCTGATTTCCTGATTTGATTTGATTTTTTTTAATTTTAAATTTTTGTAATTTCTCTGGGCAGTGTCCGCACATGCTTTTCTACGGCCCGCCCGGCACCGGAAAAACCACCACCGCCCTCGCCATCGCCCACCAGCTTTTTGGGTTACCCTCTTGCACTCAATCTCACAATTTCCAATTTCCTACTATTATTATTAGTTTTTTTCTTATATATATTGTAAACTTGTAAGAATTTTATCTTTTTATACATTTTTTTCAGCGTTTTCTGTTTAAGTAAACATGAAATGATAACACATTCTTTTTGCGGGACTGGCTCATTTTCTCGAGAATTAAAATGGGGCTAAATGATTTGGATGCTTGGAATGTTCTATGCCAGTTCCTGAATTTTGTTGGTGCATTTTTCTTATTATGTTTTCTAAATTTATTCTCACTGTTTGATTTGCTGCTGAATTAGATTATGGTCAGTGATCACCCTAGTTGTACATGTGGAAATTGTAAGATATGCAAGTCTAGAGAGCTTTTATTTGTTTTGTTTTATCTAAATCATGTTCGTTTTTCTAGGCCCGAGCTGTACAAGTCTAGAGTTTTGGAGCTCAATGCGAGTGATGACCGTGGTATCAATGTTGTTCGAACAAAAATCAAAGATTTTGCCGCTGTTGCGGTGGGTTCTGGCCAACGTCGAGGGTTCGTTAACCTTTTCTTTATCAGACTTGCTTGATCTGCTTAATTCTGCCAAAGCTTCTTCATAGATAGTAATATTATTTTCCTGGCGGAAAACTTCAGGGTTTATCCTTGTCCACCATATAAGATCATTATTCTTGATGAGGCGGATTCAATGACTGAAGACGCTCAGGCATGTTTATTATCTTTGTAACCACCCTAATACCATTTTGGTGAGAATTACTAAACAATATCCTGTTCCTTGCATTCTGTTGTACAGAATGCCCTGAGGCGCACAATGGAAACTTATTCCAAAGTCACAAGGTTCTTTTTCATCTGTAATTACATCAGCAGGTATGCATACCTTTTTCTCTGGTTTGTTAAAATCTGGTGTTATGCGATTCTTCGTATTCTGTTACATAATTTTAAATGCAGCATGGTGCCTTCTGGCAGTTCATTATCTTCTTCCTTCAGTTTCTTGCATACAAATTATGCCATTGTTTCTGAAGATTTATTTTAGTTCATTAGTTGTGACTTTGGGGCCTATGTGAAAGTCTTTATTTCTTATATTCCTCTTGTTAATTACTATTATTAACAGTTTGGAGTTTCTCATCTGCATGATTATCTTTATGTAGGATCATAGAGCCGCTTGCTTCAAGGTGTGCAAAGTTCAGGTTCAAGCCACTTTCAGAAGAAATTATGACTAGTCGTATATTGTACATTTGCAATGAAGAAGGCCTGAATTTGGATGCAGAGGTGTGCATACACTGGCCTAAATGTTTGTTTTGGAAATTTTGAGATCAACAGAATGTTCTTCATTGCATTGGTTTCAGTTTTTTTGATACTATGTCACGAACTACATAATGCCTATTGCAGGCTCTTTCAACACTGAGCTCTATCTCACAAGGTGATCTTCGTCGGGCTATTACATACTTGCAGGTAAGAGGTTCTGTTTATTTAACTTCCAACTACTGCTTTTACTCACATCTCAGCTTTCTTGGACGGAATACAAGTTGGTGATATCATTTCAATTTATACACACAGATATGTAAAGAGTTGCTCCTCCTAGTTGTTTGTGTTCTACGCATTCCATGTGATATTAATGAATTTTTTTGAGGAAAATGCGTTATATGATTTTTTTTTTCTTTTAATACTCTTTCCATATAGCAAGGATTTTGGAATTTGATATCATATAGCATCTTCAAGGCTGTAATATGCTTTGCGCCTGAAAATTTTCTATGTTTAGTAGAGACAGCTTGGTTACGAATAGGACAAGTGCTAATATATAGTTTTCCTGTCAACTGTTTTAGATCTTTGTTTCTTATCCTTGATAAACAAAATTATTGTTCATTTTGGAATATTGCAGTCAGCCGCTCGCTTATTTGGATCTTCAATTTCTTCGAAGGACCTGATAAGTGTTTCTGGGGTAAGTTGCAGTGATGTATGCTTTTAAATTTCCAAAACTTTATTATCATTTTACAAACAAGAGATTTGTACTAGATTTTATTTTGCCTAAATTTTAAATTTTTGGTGAACAATTTTGAGCTATTTCTTTCAGTTAACTTTGTTGCTATGCTTGGGTTGCTGGTTTTGTTTGACACATCTGAAACTAATATATGGAAAACTCTTTTTCAGGTCAAATAAGTAATCTTTTAGTTCTTCTTTTCATATTTCCTAAATTCCAGTTTTTGTATAGTGATCTTGTGTTTGAGCATAGAGTGCTTTAATTAGTAAGAAATAATGTAAGAAAGTTTTCTGGAAATAAGATATTTGGTTCCCGTGAGCATACGAGTGTTTTAAGTTGAATCCTGAAAGCAATAATCATTTTCTAAGTTGTTCTGAAATCCCTGATGTTTTCTGACTTACCAATATGCACTTTCAGGTTATCCCGCAGGAGTTTGTTGAGGCACTTTTTGCAGCTTGTAAAAGTGGTAACTTTGATTTGGCCAACAAGGAAGTCAATAACGTGATTGCAGAGGGATACCCGGTTTCTCAGATGTTTTCACAGGTCAAACGTTTGTTATCATAATTAATGAGTTAGTAATCTGTTACTGCTGTCTTAGATACGTACTAAAACCATGTTGCTTTCAGTTATTTGATGTAATTGTTGAAGCGGATGATTTATCAGATGAACAGAAGGCTAGAATATGCAGAAAATTGGGTGAAGCTGATAAGGTAACCCTTCAGGGAATAGCTTATTCTTGTTTCTTGGGATTATTTGCTTTTTTGTCTCAAGTAAACTGTTGAGGCTTGCACTTTTAATTTTACCTGCTTTCTGGATTGCAGTGTCTTGTTGATGGTGCTGACGAGTACTTGCAACTGCTCGACGTTTCTGGCAACACAATGCGAGCTCTTTGTAACATGTCCGAAGAATTCTCGTATTAACAATTAGGTTATCTGAGAAGCCAGATCCAGGTTTGTTTAAGGGATTTTGTAGAAACAACTCAAAACTGAAATTCTTTAATCAGGGGGAAACAATCATATTGTCCTAATCAACTGCTGATATGGTTTATGACTCACAAATGATCTGTGCAATTGATCACTCCGATATCTCGGTAATCAGCCTAGGTCTCAAAACTAGCCTAGCTAGTCTTGGTCACCCACATTGATGCTTCAGACCTCGCTAATCGAAAAGGTCAGCGAATTGCCGAACGTGGTATAAACTTGCTCATTTTAATTTGACTATGGAAATGGTGAAAGCAAAATTTTCTATTGCTGAGCATACCCATTTTTATCCATTAGGACCTTAATCTGTCCCCTTTTGTCCCCTATTTCTTCACAAGCAATTCTGTCCTGTCAAACACACATTCTATAGCTAATATTTGGCATGCTTAATGTATGGCTTGAAGCATAATTATGGCATGCTTAACTCGTGCCAGCAGTCATAAGTGGAAGCCATGATAAGCTCTCCGTTATCAGATACAGAATTGTCGTTAATGTACTCACGCTTACATCATGATAAGCAGAATTGTCGTTAAGTGGAATTGATTTTTTCTTGTTTTTAAAAATGTTTTTGCACGTCTTTTACTGTACGAAAATGAAAACGATTTATAAACTGTGTCTAAATGAAAATGAAAATAAAAAATAGTGAGAATGATTTATTTGAAGGAATTAGAAAATGATTAAAAGTTATTTTTTTTGTTTTTATTTTTTTAATACTTATCAATAATGTTATAATATATTAATTAATAATTGTAACAAATATGATTTTATTTTTTTATCATATTTAAAATAATCTCTTAAAAAATAGCGTGTGTTTAGTTGATAGATTCGTACTATAATTTGAATTATAGTTCGCGGTTTGTTATAATATTTTTTCTCGCAAAAAACACGTAAATTGATAATAGTTCTGAATCATGATTTTAAATCTATGAATCAAACGTTTACTAATACAATTTTAAAATGTATCAAAATAATTCTTAAAATACTTTCATTTTTATTTCTATATTAAAAATAAAATTATTTTAAAAACGTTATGAAAACTCTGTTTATTTTATTAATTTAAATTTTATTATAGTAAAAACTCTTAAAAAAGGTCACATTTAATTTTTTTATTATAATAAAAAATTTTCATATAAAGTCACATTTTAACTCAAATTAAAAATTTAAATTAATAAAGTAAACAGATTAAAAACTTAAATTAACAAACTAAACGGATCTTAAAAGTGCTTTTTATTTTGGTCTTGGAATAAAAAAGTGGAGGAGCTCAAAAGCATTCAAATTTACTACAGCAGATGAGCTGGCCGCTGTCTCGTCAGAGATGAGATAGGCGTTCGGTCGGCCATTGCAAAACAATGCAGTTAAGCAACCGTTAAAAAGACAAGAAAACACGATCATAAACTACCTTATCTTGCGCGCATTTTTTGTTTGAAATATAATAATAATAGAAATCATGACTTGGAAAACAGATCTTTTGGCGGAAAAACTTTTCTTTTCCTTTCTCATCTCTTATCAAGATAGAACATGCTGATTGTCACTACTAATACATATACTAAAAGTAAAATGAAAGTACTCTCACATGAAATTAAAAGTACAGGTTACACATACATGTGATACGAGGACGATGTAAAAACTATTTAGGGTCCATTTGATAAATGTATTTAAATTTATAATTCTGATTCTGTTATAGTATTTTTTTTTCATAAAAAATTTGAATTTAAAAATTTTTCACTAATGATTCTCTCATATAAGTTTTCGTCAATAAATCAGAATCAATGACTTTATTGCGTGAACTAAATAGGCTCTTAGTGTCACATCTATGGTTTATGTTCATCTTGGACAAATTATGTTGCTTCTGATGCTGAAGCAAATTTGAAGATTAGAACTATGAAAATGCGACTGATTGAGAAATTTCATTAGACGCAAGCAAGAAACAACTTATTAGACGCAGGCAAGAAACAACCATGCACGCAGAGATATTTACGCCCCTTTGATTGTTGTTTGTTTTTTTATTTTTCAACTAGCAACGAGAGGTTCCTTCTAGTTTCTACGACATCACAAATCTTTGTCATCAAAACCCCAAAAACATGCTGCGAATTTTCAACCGGTATTAAAAAATAACAAATAAAAAAGTACGAGAAAAAAACACAGAGATTGTTCGATAACATGCCTAAATAAAGCGAATTCACAAATAAGAAACACTATCAATAAGCCTATTATAAATACAAATTATAATCACGTAAATTATTTATGACTATTAAGATCTTTTAAAATCAAGAGATTCCTTAATTTGAACAATGATGCAAATAAATTTAAGATACTACTAAAGGTAATTATGTAAAACATTAAAATTTTCTAGTGAGTAGTTCTTTTTGCTTACTCATCATATATAGATTAATCTTCTAATGACATTACGGAGTTGAAATTGTGGAATAAAAGCTCATAAATTTTGGCATTACATGCACAAAAAAGTCAATTAGGTGACTCGGACCCGTTATTATCCATCACCCGGGACCCACCTCTCTACCCCACTCAATGCCTTTAATCTCGCCGGGACCAATATGAATTCCCTACACTCCTCTCCTCACTATATATATATATATACATACTCGTACTGATAACCAAAAGGGAGGCAAACACGAGTGTTTGGCTTCACAGAAAAATGGGAGTAGACGATTCTTTCAAAAAACCAGGATCCGTTCCGTTTAAGTGGGAGATCAAACCCGGCGTTCCCAAAGTCCAATCACAACAGCAACAGACAAAGCAACAACCACCGCTACAAGAACCGCCATCTCCGCTGCGAAAGCTCCGGCCGCCGCCGGCGGGATTGGTCTTCGTGCCTCCGCCGCCGGAGGCGAGGTCCCTGTCCTTTCGATCGTCTTCCCGGACGCGGTCGGAGCGGTGGCGGTTCGAACGGCCGGAGATCGTCACCGGCGGGTGCTTCCCGGCGAATCCGCTGCTGAGGCGGAAGGGAAACAGAAAGAGGGAGACGACGCCGGAGAGCGATTACGCGGCGGAGCTGGAGACGCTGGCTCGGTGGTCGGTGTCGTCTCGGAAAACGCTCTTGTCGTCGTTTCGGGATTCGACGTCGTCGCCGTCGTCGAGTTTCTCGTCGCACCAGTCGTCGCCTAGGCCCGTCAACGACGCTGAGTGGGCCGGGTTTGGGCTGTTTTAAGTTTCTGCGTACAATACGACGGCCCATAATGATTTTTTTTTAATTTTTTAATTTTTGAGAAAAATCACTGGGAAGAAGATGGATGAGAAGTTTGTCTGTGATTACCAGCCTACTTTTATTTTATTTTATTTTTTTTAAAGCTTTTTGTAGTTATATAACTTATTATATAGCATTAGTCAAAGGACCCGTCAATCGTTCATGTATTCAGAGAAAAGCAAACAGGAATGAATTATGAAGCTTTTCCAAGTCCTCCTTTGTAAATTATTACTTATGCGAGTAAATTAAGCAATTATGAAAAGCATTTTCAATCTTAATTGTCGGAGAGTATTTTCAATCTTTATTGTCGGAGAGTATTTTCAATCTTAATTATGGCCTCCTTGACCCTATTTTTTTTGTTTTGGCATGGAAATATTGTAATTGCATTTTTGACTTCATTCACCATTATATTAATATAACGCCAAACTGTCTATTTCTTTCTATCACGGTTTAGAATTTGGACCACTCTTCATGAAAGTAGATCATGGCTTGCCGGCGCTATTTTATGGTTTGTCCCTCAATAAGGGGTTAATGAAACAAATAACCACATATTACTATTTTTTTTAATTTATGTCCTTTTTTTGTTTTTGTTTTCGTTTTTCGTTTTTTTTTTTTCCTTATTCTTTATAGTCAAATGAAAGACTAAACTAGTTTTTGTCCTTGGGAGCAGCTCACCATAGCGCAATTTAAAGAATGCGAAGTACTCTAGCAATCATAAATCAGTATTGAACTTTATAGTTATTTTTCTTAGAATTTTTTTATTCATTCTTTTAGAATAGTTAAAAATAAATAATATCACGTTACAACTTTATTATACTTTTATTTTTTTTTTCAACTTGCGAAATCGGTATATTAGAAAAAGACATACGTGTGGACCTGAAGCATTTTTTTTTTTTTTTTTCATTTAAAGGAATTTCCGTTGTTATTTTAGTAAAAAATTGATCCCAATAAATTTGGCACACTTTGTATGCAATTGATACCTAAAATATAGGGTGTATTTTGAGCACGTTTCCATAATGTTCTGGTTTGCACTTTTACTGAAACTGTTGTCGTTTGAACTGTATAGTTATTTTTTTTTTTTGAAAGGGTTTGAACTGTATTGTCGTTTCCGATTGGTTGTCATTTTCAGTTATGGTATTCTTTTCACGACGTTTCGATCTTAATTAAAGTTTTACTTTTTTTTTTCCCCTGTGGTTCTCCTTTTCTTTTCTGTTGTCCTTTGTCATTTTAATCTTGTTTCACATGTTGTTGTCGTGTGGACATTTATTCATCGTTTTTGTTGCCATTTATTAGTGTTTTTATCCTTTTCCTCTATTGTTGTCGTTTTTTTTTAAGATTTCAGAAATAGCGTTTCAATCTTGAAAAATTGACGATGAAATGTATCCTGCTGGAAAAAGTTTGATTGTCATTTTGCATTACTTTGAACCAGGTGGCATTGTTTTCAATTTTTTGTCGTTTCCTATATAATTGTCGTTTCTTTCTTTGTTGTAGTTTCCTCCATAATTGTCGGATTTTTTTTTTCTTTCTTTGATATCGTTTGAACTTTTATTATCATTTTCTAATCGATTGTGGTTTTTAAGGTATTTCATCTTTTTGTTAGTCTTTTCTCACGATTATCATTGCTTTTAACTTTTTATTTCTTCCTGTCGTTTGAATGATTCTCTGTCGTTTTCTAGTTCCTTTTTTGTTTTCTTATTTTTGCTGCAGCTAGCTGGCTTCTACCTTTTATACTCGAAATTTTGTGTATGAATTGACTCTGGTGATGGATCGGGGCAATTCATAAGTAAGAAATTCTCCATCCATATAGTTGTTGGTTTCCAAATTAACTTTTTCATAATTTTTTAATTTACGTATCCTCTCTTTGGTAGTCTTTTTTTTTTTTCACTCCTTTTCTTTTTCCGCTCATTTCTACATTGTCGTTTTCCTCATTTATTTCATCTGTATATCTTGTTATTACCTTTTAGTCTCTAAGAGGATGTTTGGTCGGAGAATTTAAATATGATTTAAATCATAGTTCATAATTTGTTATAGTATTTTTTTTCATAAAAAATACACGTAAATCAAAAATAATTCTAATCTATGAACCAAACGTCTCTTATAGTTTTCAATTTTATCGCCGCTTGCCTAATTTATCATTGTTTTAATTTTAAATTTATTATCGTTTGTATTCTGTAGCCGTTTCCGATTTTACCCTCACTTCCACTTTGTTGTCGCTTTTCATCTTCCTTGTCGTTTTCCCATACATTTGTCGCTTTCCCAAAATTTGTCGTTTTCCCAAAAGTTGTCGTTTTCAAGTCCATCTTTTAACGTCCTCTCTCTTTCCCGCTCGCCTTCTCCTGTTCCCCCAACTGCCATCACAAAACCAAAAAACGGAGTTCCAGAACTCCATCCCCAAAACTCTCAAATCTTAAACCTTAAACCTTAAAACTTCACTCTAGAAGTCCAAAATCAATGACGTTTCTTTGGCACTACATCTTCGCCTTTGTTTCCTCTTCAAAGGTTTAGAGAAAACAGAAAACAGAACGAACCAAAACAAAGAAAGATGATTCTTTCGAAATCTCTTTACAGTAAATACACTCGTATCGTCAACCAAATCCTCACAGCCATGCTCCAAAACCGCCCATTTGACTCCCATCTCACTTCTTCCTCTCTTCGGTGGAGCGCAGAAGCAGTTTCGGAGGTTTTAAGGTCAGTCCCCAGATTCTTCTTCCAATCCCCTCGCTCCATCGGCCGCCAAAAAGGCTTCCGACACCGATCTCCATTAAAACAGCGCAACCTTAAACAAGAATCCCTTAAGTTTAGTAACAATGTCCTCGTTCTTGGTCCCGCCGCCCATAGGGATCCCGAAAAAGTCCAGCTGGGATTGGACAAGGCAATGGATTTCTTCTTCTGGGTCGAGGACAGTTTTGGGTTTGCACACAACGAGGCGACTTGCCGGGAGATGGCTCTCGTCTTGGCCAGAGGTAATAGTTTGGGAACTCTCTGGAATTTTCTCAAAGAAATGTCGATTAGAGGGAGTGGGCAGCTTGTGACGATATCGTCCATAACCTGTTTGATAAAAGTCCTAGGAGAAGAAGGATTGGTCAATGAGGCGTTATCTTGTTTCTATAGGATGAAGCAGTTTCATTGTAAGCCTGACGTTTATGCTTATAATACTATTATTTATGCTCTTTGTAGAGTTGGAAATTTCAAAAAGGCAAGATTTTTGTTGGAGCAGATGGAGTTACCGGGCTTTTGGTGCCCGCCCGATACTTTCACTTATACGATTTTGATTAGTTCTTATTGTAGGTATAGCTTGGAGACCGGGTGCAAGAAGGCTATTAGGAGGAGGGTGTGGGAAGCAAACCACTTGTTTCGGATTATGCTCTTCAAAGGCTTTGTTCCCGATGTTGTGACATTTAATTCTTTGATTAATGGTTGTTGCAAGACTTATCGAATTGGGAGGGCTTTGGAATTGTTCGAGGACATGAACAAAAGGGGGTGTACTCCCAACGGGGTTACTTATAATTCGTTCATTAGGTATTATAGCGCGGTTAATGAGATCGATAATGCTGTTGATATGTTGCGGAGGATGCAGAAGATGAATCATGGAATACCTTCTTCAAGTTCTTACACTCCGATTATTCATGCCTTGTGCGAAGCGGGGAAAGCGCTGGAAGCCCGGGATTTTCTTGTTGAGTTGGTTGATGCAGGCTCGGTTCCTAGAGAATATACTTATAAACTGGTTTGTGATGCACTAATGTCAGCGGGACAAGCCTATTTACTTGATGATGGGATGCATAAGAGAATAAAGGATGGAATAGAGAACAGGTTTAAGCAACTGGGGAAGTTTAAACTAATGATGACTCGCAGAGGATGTGATAGCAAGGAAACTTGATAATTTGAAGAAACTGGTTATGCTGACTCTATAAAAGACCTATATGGAAGAGAAGAATTTTGTTTCATATCATGCCACTCTGGTAGGGAGCTGTACTGCATTGGTTACGATTTCTTAATTCACCTTTTTTTCCTTATTTCCTCAGAGTTGCTTATGCCCGGACCAGCTATGCCTACCTCAAGCTTGTAGAATAAATCATGGGCCCACCATTGATCATTGGTGCTATCCCGTCCCCATTCCCATCATCTATACGATGTTGGTGATGATATTATCCGGGACTCTAAAAAACAGTTTCTCCTTTCTCCTGAAGACATCTATCATGGTTTCAACCAAAGTATATCGACAGGTTCACTACATTTTATTTTTTAACACTGGAATTGTAGAGGGTGCAAAATTGACATCTGGGAGTTATTAAATTTCAGTACTATCATATTGCATAAAAGCCAAAGGTTGAGTCACTGATCAAGCTAAGCATGTTGTGTTAAAACATGCCATCTAAACGAAGTCATGTTTTTGTCTATGGTCGAGCTTATATCCCATACGTGTTAAATCTTGTTGAATCTAGCATTGCTTATTTATTTAATGAAACTATTATAATTGGTTTTCTAGGTCTGTCTAAGGTAGTCATCTATATGTTGGCCATACATTAAAAAAAGCTAGCATGCTTCAGGCGTGTCATGGTTTCCTTGTTCTTTATGCAACTAAAAATATCTAATTTGGGACAAAGACTACTTCATAAGCCAATGCGTTCGCAATCTGAGCTATATATATATATATATATATATCCACACTAAGTATGACATACCCTCCTTTAAGTCAACTTTTCCTTTACTATTGGAGAAGGAAGAAGAACCGGCTTTCCAATTAAAATCTTAGAGACTTGAACAACGTGCATTGTCTCTTCAGCAAATAATAATAACAATAATAAAATAAAACAAATCAAAGGTGTTACCACTATAGTTTTTTAAAATGAAATCGAACCCTTGAATCATTGATAGGAAATATATGTAAATCTTAACAATTGGGCCGTCACGGGTGTTGACATTCACATTAACATTAGATACGAATGTGGAGTGGTTGGCAAAAAAAAAATATCAAAGTTTTTTAGTCCCTTAACCTCCATGGCATACGTTATTATCGCTAACAATATCTACAACTTCATGAAATATAATAATGAACGTTGTCAAACCTCGGGTTATCATGTATTTTCCTTTTATCTCAAAAGTATGTAAGCGTTGCTTAATAAGTCTCACGCAGCCACAACTTTTAAAAGAAAAAAAATAAAAAAAAGAAATTTGTTTACACTTGTTCCGTGATTTTTATCCCGTCTCTTCTAAGGGTTTTCCATATAAAATACTCTATGTCTATATTATCTTTATTTTTACTCATTTCTTATTTTACCGTCAAATTTATCAACAAAGTACTTTATACAAATTAAGTTCTTCAAGATCAATCGGGGGTTTTGTAGTTTAGAATTAATGCGACAATAAAGTAATTAATGTATCGAAGAATAGAGGTGGCTGCATAAATTATAAACTGGATCCAGGAAATTGACTCTACAACATGTTAAGAGGATTATTGATCAGCTGCATGGATCATACCATTTCTTCTCTAGCTGCTATTGGTTTATTATATGTATTATATTTAATGCTTATAAAATGCGACCAAATCAAGTTGCTAATTTCATGCGATGATATTGAATAAGCAGCATATATGTATTGATATTTAATCATCACCTACATCATTACTTTTGACTTGCTCTAGTTAATTAATCAGCTCCTTAAATTACTCATTAATTGATGTTCCATTTATATTGGAAAAATTGCATATATCAGCACACGTGGCGAAAGTTGAACTTTTGAGTGTAAGTAATTAGATTATCACGTCTTCAAAGTTTCATCAGAAAAATATCGTACTGGAAAACTATAATCTTTAATTATTAGATTTTCGTTAAATTCTATTAAATTACCGTACTTTATTCAACATGATATGATTTTGGCTTCATTTAATGCTTAAAAATTATATATGATTTTGGCTTTATTATTCAATTTTCATTAGGTTCTATTAAATTACTTCACTGTATATGTTCACTTATACAGTACTATTCACATATGCGGTATTGTTCACGGTGTGAATAAGTACGACATAAGTAGGTTCTGTCTGGGAGGTTGGAACTTAAGTAGTCCACCTGAGACCCTCCACACATTTTTTGAGAACTTGCTTAGTAAGGTGGTTCTATTTAAGAGGCTGTCCTCATCTATACTTTGTTGATAGAACTGGTGTATTCATTTATAGTCTATCTTGAGAATTACCTAGTCGGTACAGTTACTGTACGGGTACTGTTCACAGCTATAGTGAAACGGTGGGAGTTGAGCAAATCACGAAATGGTTAGAAAATTTGAAATAGATAAGTTCAATAGAAGCAATTTCACGTTGTGGAAAATGAAGATGTAAGCAATTTTATGGAAGGATAATTGTCTGGTGGTTATCAGAGAAAGACTGCAAGAAATCATGGACGATGGCAAGGGGAGTGAGATGGATGGTAATGCTATTGCCAATTTACACCTGACATTAGCAGACAGAATTCTATCAAGTATCACAGAGAAGAAAATATCGAAAGAAATTTGGGATACTCTGATGAAGTCGTACACGTCCAAGTCACTTCACACCAAGATTTTCTTGAAGAGAAAACTTTATACTTTTCAGACTGCAGAATCCACACTGGTAATCGACCACGTCAACAACCTGTAGACTATATTCGTTTAACTTGCATTGTTGGGTTAGAAGATAAAGGAAAATGAACGTGCATAGATTCTTCTTCAAAGTCTACCTGATTTGTATGATCAACTCATCATCAACATAGCCAATAGTAATGTTGTAGAAAGCCTACACTTATAAGATGTTGCAGGCACAGTCCTTGAAGAAGAAAGTAGGCATAAGAACAAGGAATACATGTTGGCAAGCTCACAGCAAGCAGAAGCTTTGACGATAATGAGAGGGAGATCAATGGAACGCGGCCCCATTGGGAGTCAAAGTAAGAAGAAGAATTTGAGATGTCACAACTGTGGAAAGAAGGGACACTTTAAGAGGGAGTGTAAGATTAAGAAGAGTGAAGAAAGAAATTCTCAAGGGAATGTGGCAAGTACCTCAGATGATGGTGACGTCTTATACAACGAGGCAACAACAATTGCTGAAGGCAGATAGAAGCTCACTAATGCGTGGATACTGGATTCGGGAGCATCATGGCACATGACCGTTAGGAGAGAATAATTCCATCAATATGAACCAATCTCAGAAGGATCAGTATACATGAGAAATGATCATGTCTTGGAGATTACTGGTGTTGGCACTATCAAACTGATGATGTACGATGTTACTGGTCGTACTATATAGAAGGTACAACACGTGAAAGGCCTGAAGAAGAATTTATTGTCTTTAGGATAATTAGATGATCCTGGTTAAAAGATCCACATTGAGAATGAGATCATGAAAATTGTTAAAGGCGCGCTTGTGGTGATGAAGGCAGAAAAAGTTACTGCAAATTTGTACATATTTTTAGGAGAAACACACCAAGAAAGAGAATTATCTGTTGCATCGACGAGTTCGGGAGAAGAATTAATGATGATGTGGCATCAGAAGCTCGGTCATATGTTGAAATGAGATTTGACGATCTTTCTAAATAGAAACTACTCCCTGAGCTCAGCTTGGTAAAATTATTGTTTTGTGAGCATTGTGTTACAAGTAAGCAGCATAGGTTAAGGTTCAACACATCAAAAACTAAAAGCAAAGGCACCTTAGAATTGATCCACTCTGATGTTTGGCAAGCACTGGTATCATCCATTGGAGGGGCGAGATACTTTGTATCTTTCATTGATGATTACTTCAGGCGATGTTGGGTGTATCCAATCAAAAGGAAAGCATATTTTTTGAAGTCTTCAAAGGGCGAGTGGAACTTGAATCTGAACATAAGATCAAGTGTCTAAGGATTAACAATAGAAGAGAATATACAAGCGATGAGTTTGATGCATTTTGTCAACAAGAAAGCATCAAAAGGCAATTCATGGCGGCGTACACTCCTTAGCAAAATGGAGTGGCCGAGCAGATGAATAAAACATTATTGGATATAACAAGAGTAATGTTGATGACTGCAGGTTCAGCCAAGTCATTTTGGACATAAGCAGTCAAAATTACATGTTACGTGATTAATTGGTCTCCATCAACTGCGATTGATCTGAAAACGTCAATGAGGATGTAGATTGGTAAGCCGGCTGATTATTCTTAGTTACATACATTAGGAAGTCCTGTGTACGTTATGTGTATGCTGATGGTGTTAAGGGGTATCACTTGTCGGATCCCACAGCCCACAAGATTGCCGTCAACAGAGATATATATTTGCATATGATAAATTGCAAGAAAAAGGAGACGATAACACTTCAAAGGAGAAGTCATAGACTACTAAGGTTTAGGTGGAAAATAAGCCAGATGAAGATCTAGTTTCTTCTTATGCAACACCAGGGCACGAAGGTCAAGAACCAGTCGAGTCTGAGGCTTTCAAAGTTTGTCGGTCAACTCATGAGAAAAAACCACTAGTTTGTCACTCAGACTATGTTACTAAGAGCAATGTTGCATATTGTATTTTAACAGAGGATGAAGAGCCATCAACTTTCCAAAAGGCAATCAAAAGCCCAGATATATCCATGTTGATGGTAGCAATGTAAGAAGAAATCAAAGCCTTACACAAGAACAAGACGTGAAATCTTATTTCGCTACCACAAGGAAGGAATGCCATCAGAAACAAATGAGTCTACAAGATCAAGCGTGATGGTAATGATCAAATGGAGTGATTTCGTGCAAGATTAGTGGTGGAAGGATATGCTCAGAAAGAAGGTATTGACTTCAATGAAATATTTTCACCCGTCGTTTGACTCACTACAATTTGAGTAGTTTTGGTGATGTGTGCTACATTTGACTTACATCTAGAGTAGCTAGATGTGAATACTGCTTTTCTTCATAGAGATTTTGAAGAAAAGATTTATATGCTCTAACCAGAAGGTTTTGCAGAAGTAGTAAAAGAGAACTTAGTTTGCAGGTTGAACAAATATATGTACGATCTCAAACATGTGCCGAGGTGTTGATACAAGAGATTTGATTCCTATATCACGAGCCTTGGGTACAACAAGCTTAGTGCAGACCCTTGTGCGTATTTCAAGAGGTTCGATGATGGATATTTGTCACGCCCCCAAATATGGGTTAGTGATGTGAAGGCTTGTTTAGAAATTAAACAAGGATTAAGAAAGTAATTAAACATAAGTCAAAGTCAAAGATAATATATATAAATAAGAATTTTCAAATAAATCCCACTATTTTAAGGAAATTAGGATTTAGAAAGAGTGAGGTGGACTTTACAAACCACAATCACTGTTAAAATCAATATCAAAAGTCAGCCCCCGGCATCCACAGGGTTTA